AAGAAGCTGAGGCTCAAAAGCATGTGACCCTTTGTAAAGGTTGGTTAATAGGTGGATTTTATATGCTAGGTATAGACAGTCAGAGTGCAAATAGGAACAAACAATGATAATGACCTCCCACTAGAATCTTGTCCCCAAGTATCAACCTTGGGGAAAAGAAACAATTAGAATTTCTCTCCACTCCTGTGCCCCACATTTTCAAGTGTTCAATATTTCACATGGCTGTAATTCACTGTTCTTGTTGGATTATATATTAAAACAAGGATATGTGAGCTCTAGTGAGATTCATGTCCAGGAATTTAAGAATTGAAAATTTCACAAAAATTTTAAATGTGCATTAAGGAATTATCTAAAGTGATTTATCACACAAAGAAAAAAATAGAAAATCAGAGAAAGAAACATGTCTGTAAGATTGGAAATTTTATTTTCAATGACTTCTACAAATTTTATATTTAGATATGTCCATGAAAGAGTTTATATTTAGGTATATCCACGAAAGAGTAGTTCTTGGAATGTTTAAGTTTAGGAACTAAATAAGAGCACTTTCATTAGCTTCCAACTGAAGCTATTTTAGATATTCCCCAAAATCCAAGAGCTCTGGAATGAAGAGGAAGGTGAGGACTTTTTTTCCTTCTAAAACTAAAAAAGCCCTGTTGAGGAACAATACAAATTTATGTTGTAGAAAATATTTCATAACTAATTATTTGGGAATGAAAGTTCTTACTCAACATTCATGAATTTTACATAATTTTAGGCAGGTGTGTTGGTGCACACCTGTAATCCCAGCACTCAGGATGCTAAAGCAAAGGAATTGACATGAATTGGAGGCCATCCTGGCTACAAATTATTTCAAGGTCAGCCTACACAGCAAAGCAAGGCCCTGTATCATAAAACAACAGCAACAACAACAAAAATCAACAACAAAACAAAACACACACACACTCACACACACAAAACAAAAACAACAGAGAAGCTATAATTGTAGTAAACATAAAATTTACTTTGGAATGCTTTAGATTTTTGTTATGTGGACATTTAATCTGCATTTTAAAATTTGTTTTGTATCAGTATTAGTTAATAATAACCAATACTACAGAAGGCTTCATTACAATAATATGTGCGATGAACTGTAGGTGTGCCTGGTTATGACCTGGATTGGTAAGAAATGAACACTTGTGTTCGTCATTGACAGGTCCAAAATGTGGGAGGGCAGAATGGTGTGAAGAAGCCATTTCAGGTTGGAGAAGCACTGAGAATGAAGGCAAAGCCATAGAATGAGCCCAGAATTGGGATATGATAGGGACTGATCCATCTACCATGCACACTCTGGTAGCTTTTGCTAGTTACTAAAACATCATAGAATTTATTTATTTCATATTTTATTATCATCATATCCCAAATTTTTATTATTCTTAGAGGCCATGCTAAATCCAAATACTGTTTTCTAAAAAGAGCAAAATACAATTCTTGAGGACTTAGCATAAGTATTGAGAAGTATGGGAAAAATTGTTATTTATTCTCAGCACTCAGTCTACCTTCACTGTCAAAAGAAAACATTTAAGTCTTCCTTGGACAAAATTTTCTTCTAATTCATTCCCCAAGCCTTCTTGCTTCTGGTTTTGCCTATGTGACCAGACACTTTTTCAAATTAATACAGGTGGAGGTGAAGTTTATCCCCACCAGGCAGTGTTCTTCAAGTTACAGGACACTCTCTTCTTCTAAATATTCAGATTGAGGGTCAGACGGTCAGTACAAAAGATAGAACTTGGAGACCAAAGATGCAAACTGCATGTATCATAATAGAGCAATAATTTGAGAAAACTTATGTGTGTGATAGGCACTACACAGGGGGATAAAAATATACAAGGAATTTTTAAAATTTAGAAAAGTATTACAGTAAAAGACACATTGCCATTAATCCCCTCAAAATTCCCCCCTCATGTCAAAGATGCTCATCTCATCCTTGCTAGTTTCTAAAGCACTTCTGGAAGTCCTCTTCTGTGAGTGTCTGTGAGATATGATCACAAATGTGGAAAGTGTTGCTGCCATCCCACAGAAAGTCTGGCTCATTAAAAACATAGTAGTGTGATCAACCTCATCGATCAGATCTGGCACCACGTGCCTTCTGGCTTTTCCCACTGCCAAAACAACCATGAAAGGTAAACATTTCGCAAGGATTCAGGACCCCAAGGAAGCCAGGATAGTGCAACTAAAAACACAGAAGAGGATTTACAGAACTGCTTCAGAAAGTGACCAGAGAAATGCAATAAATATGTTTGAAGTGGGGGATATTTTGAGGAGAATTAATGGCAATGCATTTTAATATAATATAGTTTAACATAAATATTCAAATTATTTTTCTTTCTTCCTTGTACACCACCTCAGAATCATCTTCTGCTTTAAAACAACATAACAAAAACAGAAGGTAAAGCATGATTCTGCCTGTGTTCTGCTCCTTTAATATCCCAATTACTCTGGAAAATGCTAACTGGAAGTGAAAAACTTTTTTTTTTTTGAAATTCATGTGTGCTCCTGTTAGAGAAAGCCAAATTTTGTATAAGAACATTATTTCAGTACATTTTTCCATTATGAAGATTTTTGATTACATTTATTCCACTATAATGAAATTTGATAAGCCATATATAGTTACAATATTTCTTTTTTCTGATTGCTCTCCTTATTGAAGGTGTTTTTATCATTTTTTTGGCAACGTTTCCTCTTCATTTTGGAATCTAGTTCCTGTCTCTATTCATATTTTAATGGTTTACTTTCCAAAGGTTTTCAGAAATACTGGACACTTCAGATATTTTTACAAATGCCTGGACAGATAATCATTTCATAAATATTCATTTTTGTGTATCACCCACTGATATGAATAAATTTTCCTAGATTAATTTTTGGCAGTGACTACAATACTAAGCAAAATTTATATACATGTAAACATTGTGAAAACTATGCAACCAAACAAGCATAATACCCACATACACATGTGTTAAATAGTAGCATCTGCACATTTATGCATGGGTCACATATTTTTATACCTGTATACGTGTAGAAACATAAATATGAGTATTTGGTTGGATACTAAGACACAACATGAAGGTAAGAGTGGTCAGTACATACAAAATCAACAAATTTCTTCTGGTTTTCAAAAAAATCCCCTCTCTTCTCAGTTTTATTGTTGGTTTTATATGGTGTAATATAGGCAACATTGCATGTTCACATCACATATTTGAAAGGAAGCTAAAGACAAATGAAACACTGTTTCCTGCCTGTTTGAAGAGACAAGTGTTTTTAAAACACAATTTAACTTGGTTTAAATGTTCAGGCTCAGTTAAAGAAGAACGGTAAGTCTGGTGTAATGGCACATGCTTACATTAAACATATTAGTGGCTGAGGCCATAGGAAGACAAATTAGAGGTCAGCCTGGGCAATTTAGCAAGGCTCTGTTTCAACATAAAAAAAAATAAGAGACTGAGGATGTCGCTCAGTTGTGCAGCAGGCAACAGCATGCAAGAGGCCCTGGATTTAATTCCCAGTAGCAGCCTCCCCCGCCTCTGAGCCTCGTGCTGTGCCCTGTGACACTAGAATAGAGAGAAGTGAAGAACGTGATACTATTTTGGTGATGTCCATGTTTGTCTCCTTAGTGGAAGTTTGTTGTAGACTTTGAGGCTTAGAGGCATTGGAAGGAACACACTAGTTTCTACCATCTAAAACTGGCTGTCATGGTTTAAATATGAAGCCTGTCTCAACTCAGGTACTAAGGGCCACCAAGAGATCCTGAGACTGACTGGTGGTCACTAGGACCTCCCAGAAGAATACCAAGTGTTCTAGTTGCTCATTTTGAAAACCCCAATAGAAGCACAATTGGGCTGAGGGTAAAAGAGGACATTCGTTGTGTGAAGTCTTCCTTCTTGTCCAAACAAATGAAAAAGATATATGTGCCTTTCTTCACACAATCTACTTTTACAAAATCAATAGGGAGTTGATGAAAAGGAGTTACTTCTAATTAGTTAGAAAACAAATTTTCAGTTTAATTTGAGTCCATAGGAATAAATAACATCTAGGCATGCATTAGCAAAAGAATACCACTTCAAATCTTAAATCATATAGGTGGAAAAATTGCATGATCTTTTGGATAAGAGAAAATGGGATGGAATTGTGAGAAAGAAGTAGCAGTAGCATAGTCCAAAAACTGTGGGGCAAGAGCTATTGCATAAATATATATCAAAATATGTCCAAATGTGTTAAATTCTGTTTGTTATTGTCAATATCTGTCATTCCATTTTTATATATTCATTTGCTGGAACTGTATTATTCACTGCTTCTTCGTATTTTCAAATATAGTCCTACAAACTTGGTAAGAAATCCAGGTTATATATTATATATTTAAAGGGGTTAAATGATTTCTTGTGGAGATCATCTTTTCAAGAATTAACAGTAAGATTCGCTTAAAAAGGATATGTACAAAATGTTGGGACTATTAAGGTATACTGAACAAATATATTTATTACATTAATAAAGTTAAATGACCTTGGTCTAAAAACTGTGGTGTTTCTTCTGTATAAAGCATAATCAATCATACAGTGTCTGAGGAAGTTTTTAAAGACACTAGAGGGGATCTGGGTTCCTCTAGTATATGATGGAACTTGGGAAATCCCAAAAAAGGTACTATCTTCTGTGTCTCTGAATTGGGAATCCATTCTTAAAATTCTCATCTTTCTCCTTAATAGGTAACTACCAGTGATCTCATGATTTGTGCGCCTATATTTCTCTCTGAACTGCTTGCTTAACAAATATCCATATTAAAAATTTTTGGAATATATATATATATA